CCCACAATAGGACGAAACGGCCGTCCAGTGCTTCCAGGTTTACCCTGGTGGTCTAGCTTCAATTGACTCACGCTTTCAACTATGAAAATACTAAATCTCCACAAAAACCTCTTCTGATAATACCAAATGAATTTATCTATTGATAGTTATTATTAAACAAAAATTTTTTTCGATACCAAAGATTGTAGCAACTATCAATCAACTGGGCACAAGTGTTGAAATTTCATAGTAACTTAAGCCAACAAGTAACATTCACTAACTCGTCTTAAATTAAAATCATAAATATTGATTGATTTAGGACAGAAAGTTGAATGAAAAAAAGAAAACAAACAAAAAATAGTCAATACTTGACAATTATATGAATTATTTAATCATTATTGTTATCATCAAACAATATTGAATATTTATGTTTATATTCATCCATTGATGGTTATAATTTACTGGTCAATGTTATGCTACTTCTTCTGACAGATAGATACATTTGAATTTACTAGTCTATTGTTTGTATAGATTGTATATATTCAACGGATAATGTTGTTCTATCTTGTGTATTGGTTAATAGTCGCTGTTTGATCAATATATACAAGATTGATATTATTTTGATCTGATATAAGGTAAAACTTATTCTGATTCAATTATTCTATATTTAATACTGTACTAAAGGAAATAAAGACAATTATTGTTTTGTTATGTTTACCATTAAGAAACTGTGAATAACAATGTGTATGTAAGCATTTGTAATTCTTTATCGAAAGTGAAAATTTCTCATTCTGGATCTTTTGTGTATGTGAAACTTCTGAGAATAGAATAAATTTTTTCACAAACTGTCTGCAAGATAATATCACTACCACCAGTTGTACGTTAAATCAATGATTATGTCTTCTTTGATACTTCTTTAATAAAATCGATTGGCATAACACTAACTTAAATGTTTTCGAATTATCAAAAATCTTGCTCGCTTGATAGTATCGTGGATGCGCACTGCTAAGGAGTTCCATAGTAGGACAAAACGGCCATCCAGTACTTCCAGGTTTTCTATGGAGGTCTAGCTTCAATTGACTCATGATTTCAACTTTGAAAAATACTGAAATCTCCACAAAACCCCTTCGGAAATAATATTCATAAACATTTTAGTAACTGAAAATAAAAATAATTTCAACGTATCATGTGACAGTCTTGTCCGAAATCCTCCATAAAACATTCTCTACTCCTAACTATTAGGGTACTATTCATTTAAACGTAGATGAAAATTCATAGAGAATGTGTTTAAATCACTTTAAATAAACTGCAGAAACATGTTTTCACTGTACCATACAATTTGTCCTTTTTGATACATTATATTAACTGAAATAACTTTTAATCGTTTTATTGATTTGTCTTTTTTCGTTATCGTCTGTACTATAAACAAATACTGACAATGGATAGTGGCTAGCAGTGGAATCCAGGACGCGCGTTTCGTCCTATTTGGGACTCGTCAGCTGGATGTACCTGCATCTCAGAGTTGATGTTCACTCTGGGACTCGAACCCAGTACCCTCGCTTCAAACGCCATCGCGTTATCCACTCGGCCACTGAGTCCTGATAGCCACTTGCTTGTGCGATGGGGTGAAGTTTAAATTCAACTTAGTATTGTTTGTTTGAATCTTCCCATCGATTTGTTAGGACTGCAACTGGTCAGTCTCTAATTGGCATATGTGCATACTGTGCATCCAGCTGACGAGTCCCAAATAGGACGAAACGCGCGTCCTGGATTCCACTGCTAGCCACTATCCATCTCTGCTAACCATGCTTGTGAATTAAGGTATATCGAGGCAATACGCACAGTATGCACATATGCCAATTAGAGACTGACCAGTTGCAGTCCTAACAAATCGATGGGAAGATTCAAACAAACAATACTAAGTTAAATTTAAATACTGACAATGTTTCTAACATCAGAAAAATTTATAAGCTAAGATGATGGCAGTTAGCAGTGGAGTGTAGAACGGGCGTTTCGTTCTATTTGGGGCTAGTTAACTAAATGTGCCTGCACTTAACAATTGATCCTTACTTATAATCATTGTAACTGAACGTAATGTTGAGGATATCAGCACAAGATTCACATATACCAATAAAAAACTGATCAACTGTAATCCGAAATATCAATGGGAATATTTAGACAATCAATGTAAAAATGAATCAGAAAAAAATTATTACCAAATAGCTAATCGATTATGTACATTGAATAAAAACTGATTTTGACATTATCCATCGTTATGATATTTTATCCATTACTGATTTGGTGTTCCGATCAAATATATCAGAATAGGATCAATTACATGAAATGAACATTTGCTTTCCCTTTAATTATAATACTTGTTTCCACCCACCTATTTAAGATTTTGTATTTTCTTTTAATATACACTTTACCTTGCAAATAATTTCAATAAAACCTTTATATATATACAGTAAACGTTAATAGTTAACACCCATTTGAAACCACAATATCCAGGCTACAACTCTTAGAATATACCGAACCCAAAAAAGTTAATTTTTATAATTACAATTTATATCACGTAATTTGGAGATCATTTATATAATTTACCTCATAACATTCATTCAGAGTGGATGGAATGTGCGTTGTTATTAGTTACATCGTTTATAATTCCTACTTTTAAAATACAGTAAAATGTTTCAATGGAAAAGTACACGCCTACTTGGATTATTATGTTTAAAACAAATAATAAACCTTACAGTATACTTGATAATAGTGAGTATTGTATTAAAATAAAAGCTTTCTATTCTATTATAAATAATGATTTAAAATTTCTGTGTTCAATATTTTGTATAACACTTAAATTTTAACTGAGTTGGTAATATTTCAACTTGTTTAATACAAAAGTTGAATAGTGAAACTATCTACTTCATTAACTATAAGTTAGTGTGAAAATAATAAATTTTTCCATATAATATGAGATTATCCAATTTTAAGGTTTCTTGTAAGCAATAAATAGGGCTATAAAATGACATATAATAAATGCTTGATATATTCTAATTATCATAATATGGATTTGTGGAGATTGTAGTAATTTTAATAGTTGAATCGATCAGTTGATTTAATCTAGACCACCTGTCAAAAGCACTGGACGACCGTTTCGTCATAGTACGGAACTTATCAACAGTGTGCATCTATGGTTCCGTATACGGAACTCAAACCCGGGACCATGGGTTCGTACGTGAACACATAACCGCTACACCAATGAGCCGGTATTCAACAGTGTTAATATCTAACGTCAATCGATTCATGATCTTGCTCAACCTTTCATTCATTATATGAGGTGGATAACTGTCTTCACCTTAGACGGATTCTAATTGGTGAGTGTTAAGATGGAAAATTGAAATGATGAGAAGTATCACAAGTCGAGAAAAAAGATGGGAAATATATAGTTGAATAATGAAGACTGATGTATATTTTTATGCTGAAAAAAAAACTAGGCAACAAGTATTGCAGATAACATTATAATCATAGTAAAAACATGTAATTACCTAAATCGTCATTGAAATAACAAGTACTAGATTAAACCAGATATGATCTACAGAAAACCTACTACTCAATACCACTTCAATTGTTTGATAATTCTTGTGTACTTTAAAAGTATAACCTATGAAGATATTATTTCATTTATACTGAAATTTTTGTGTTAATAATATATAGAGTAGTCATTTAGTATTTCATAGTAAATTTCTTTAAGTATCCATTTTCTATACGACACTTTTCAACTATTTACTCTTTTAAATTCACTTGATGTTGTTTGCTTGTATCCCAGAGTGAACAACAACTCTGAGATGCAGGTACATCCATCTGACGAGTCCCAAATAGGACAAAACGCGCGTCTTGGATTCAACTGCTAGACACTATCCGTCTTTTCACTCTTTTATTTCACTTCTTATCTAGTTAATACAATAGATTAGTTGAACTTTACCACTTGAGCTATATGCGCAAAATAATTAATTTTGTTTTTTCTTACTGAAAACGGAGATATTATTCTCTGATGCACTTCTTGTTATATCTTGACCGGGATTCTATCAGAAAACAACATTTCATGACTGTAGTGTTAATTATCTAGAAAATATATTGGGATTTGTTAACCTGAAATGTCATTAATGTTATATTTATGTGACTAACTCATTATGGTTAGGAATGGGACTAATATCACTCAAGTATCCATATACTTAGATTATACTGAAGAATAAAAAAGATGTAGGTTAAACTTAAAAGGATTGAATGATCTAGGTCATATCTTTATTTTCATTTGCTCACAAGTTAAATTAAGTTGACCTTTATTAATTATTCACGGATCTTTAAATTCATAATAATTTAGAAATAAACTTCGATTACTTCGATTACCCTCCATTTCCAGTCTAGTTGACCTTTTTATTTTTATATATACATGTTCTTAACAAGTATGTAAGTGATCAGAATGTTCGAAATGTATTGCGCTAATATATCACATAGTTCTGATAATCTTCGTCTGCTTATTACTCTATCGAAAATTAATATGAGTTGTTCTTTAGTTTACTTATCAGTCACCTGTGTATAATAACTATATATACTACTTATGTTTTAATGGTCAATACCATTGATGCTTTTTATATGTTCTTCTATTTATCATTCATGTTAAATGACTTTATTATTATGCTTTTACATAAAAGTCATGATTTTCTTTCTATAGTCAATCAAATCTCACGGTATACATTGTAGGCAAGCAAACAAGCATTAGTTACTTTTAAACATAACAGTGTCTTTTTTAAAAACTCCGCCTGTAGCTACTCTAGGGGCTACTGCCGGTCCCAAGCTCGGATAAAGGAAGAGGGTTGGGCTTGTGGTTAGCGACCCCATACCGTTGAAAACCAATTCGCCAAAAAAACGCTAATCAGTCTTTTTTTAAACAATTGAAGATAGTCTACAGAAAACTTTAAGTCTAAAATGTGTGCTATTTACTACTCGTCAGAGAGATATACCTTGAATTAAGTAGCAATTTTTACTTGCTCTAAAATTCAAACCTATGTTACTCAGATTTACGATGTTAATCATTAGTACTGGACAATTTGGACCTCAAATGTATTAATATAGAATTTATATACTTATAACTGATTGATCAATAATGAAGGATCATCTTCATGATTGTTAAGTCATTTCATGGTGAATGAATTCTATCAATCTAATTATTTCTTTGATGATGATGATGATGATGATGATGATGATGATGATGATGATGATGATGATGATGATGATGATGATGATGATGATGATGATGATGATGATGATGATGATGATGATGATGATGATGATGATGATGATGATGATGATGATGATGATGATGATGATGATGATGATGATGATGATGATGATGATGATGATGATGATGATGATGATGATGATGATGATGATGATGATGATGATGATGATGATGATGATGATGATGATGATGATGATGATGATGATGATGATGATGATGATGATGATGATGATGATGATGATGATGATGATGATGATGATGATGATGATGATGATGATGATGATGATGATGATGATGATGATGATGATGATGATGATGATGATGATGATGATGATGATGATGATGATGATGATGATGATGATGATGATGATGATGATGATGATGATGATGATGATGATGATGATGATGATGATGATGATGATGATGATGATGATGATGATGATGATGATGATGATGATGATGATGATGATGATGATGATGATGATGATGATGATGATGATGATGATGATGATGATGATGATGATGATGATGATGATGATGATGGAAATATTCATTTCAACTTACAATGAAATAGGTTTAAATAATCATGTGATGATTTTGACTTCTCATTGCCTAACATAATTCATAAATTAAAAAAAGAATTATATGGACACGTTTGTTTGTTTACTTAACATATGATTGGCTAAACTATTGTCTGGCTACATTTTTGATATATATATACGTATATATATTTGGGGAAAAATAGATAAATCCTTTGGGATATATCATTACTTAAGTGGATTTTGTTAGTAGTATATATTCGATTGTATAATAATATTGAGTTCCCCTTTATCATTAATGAAATAAATTATAAATTACTATTTATTCGATGGATAATGTTTATATGTTCACATCAAATTAAAAATGAACAAATCATTCTTAAATGAATTAAATCCTGATTAGCATATTTTGACAATCCTATTTAAACAAACAAACAAACAAAACAAAATACAAATAATACACAAAAATGTTAGTTCAATGCTCATTTGATTTCCTGACATGCTATTGTTTCTCTTTGTGCGTGTGTGTGTGTATGAGCGCGCGCGCGTGCTTTAACTTTGAATTATTGAACATAAAGAAAATTCGAATATTATTACAATAATAAGAAAAATTAAAGAAAAACATATTCAGTTGGCACATTTTTTAGAAGGAAAAAACAACAACAACAACAACAACAACAACAACATGATTTCTGTAAGAACATAGAATATAGAGAATTATATTGAAACATAGGTGATGGTGGAGAGAGATAGAGGGGAATAACAGAAAACAATTGAATTAAATGATTCATCAATTGTAAATTCGTTTTATGTAATAAATTAAAATGTATTTTTATGAGTAGTATCTTGTAAGAAAAACACTAATTTTTATCCTTTGTGAATTAAATCTAATAGATGTTATCTAATGAATGACTATTTGGTCAATAAAATTATTTGAATTCGACAATAGTTTGTAGGTTCTTCAATAAGCATAAAGATCGGATTCTAATAACTTAAGTGATGAAATAATTGTCGACCAGTAAAGATCATTCATTTGAAAACTGTAAGTCATTAAATATTAGGATGTTGTCTATGATTAAATATACCTCTATTTTCTGGGCACTATCTTGCATTTTAGGTAATTTAACAAACTAGCGGTTTTGGTTGTGTTTTTTTTGGTTGTTTACATCATGAATTGATTTTGGTGAAACAAACGCTAGAAATCAGGAAGCATTAGATAGCTATTTTGTCGTGGCATGGGGCTACTCAGCATTTTGTGGATGACTGAATTAGGGTTTAACATGAAAATATGTCAATGTGTTTTAAAATTTTTCATCCTATTTAGTTGTGTTCAAATATAATTACAGTAAAAAACAATATCATTGACCGAACTTCTTGGTCTTTGAGAAGCGAATTGCTATTTTAAGAGTTTTTAGTAAGGACATCTTGAAGTACCAGGCAAATTAATACACAGGAAATTGCTTGTCTGTACTAAGCAATTGCTAAACAGAGATATGAGATAAGATGTAGTTCTCCTTCATTCATATCTTAAGGGCTGTTAATGAATAAAAGTATTATGCATCATTTTTCTGTGACAGTATCCTAGTGAACATAATCGTTCTGAAATCTTTCGATACCTCTTTGTTTGCTTCATATAATGCTATTACAACTTTCCAGAAATACGTTGAACTGTATACTTTGTTTTCTCAACCCTTCATTACAAATTTCATTTTCATGATGTCTTACGACAGAATAGTTTCTTGATGGACTTAGTGGTTTGAAGTTATTTGGTGTGACGATGGATATTGAGGTTTAAAGTAAAATAATACTTTTATCATACCCTTGAGGATCTATTTTACTGAATGATTTCGTCTACAAAACAGAATGAAGAAATGAGTATCTGGAAGGTTCATCTTAAGACTTTTTAACACTGCTGATCTCATTTAGTATTCTCACTTGACCAAGAAAAAGCAAGCTACAAATTTCCTCTAATTTACCTGACATAAATATATGACTGATGCCTTATCAAACGCATTTTTCCGTAGAGTAAAGTGTCAAAACGGCTATACTGCACTTACAATCAAAGAAGAATATGATCACAGCATCCATCTTGCAATGCTTATTTACATGGTTCGAGGATATATAAGTGGATAGCTATTGGTAAAATCATTATGTTGATTGAAATTGATACCTTTCATGAAGATAATCTTCAACATTCCAAACGTTGCCGTTAAATGCCAGTTCACTGATTTACAGTTTAAGCGTTTGCGCGCGAGACCGAAGGTTATGGTTTCAGGGCTGGATCATGGAAGCGCACTGTTGAGGAGTCCCATACTAGCGCAGAACGGTCGTCAAGTGCTTTCACGTTCTCAAAACTTCTCTGACATTGATCAGTTCAAGATTTCAATGATAAACTACTAGTCTGTTTAATCAAATCAGTTTATTACTGTATTTTTTTATTGGCAAATAATTTGTAAAACTAATGATGTAACATACTGTTATTATTAATGTCTTTTTGGAGGATGAAGTTAGTTGAATCAGCAGTATGGGTTAGTATGCTAGGACACTTATGAAGGCAATGCTAAATATTATGGAAAACATTAAAAAGAAATAAATGAGTTTTTCAAGGTTTTCTAGCCTTATACTAACGGAAAGTGTGCATTGTCATGAGGTGTACCATGTTATGGTATTCACTAGCATATATGTATATTATGTGGTTGCAGTGCCTAAACATATTAAACTAGAGATTTTGTCCAGATTACTTCCATTCAGTGCATTCTTTGATTTGCGATACAATTTATAATTGGCAACAGTTTCGATTGTCTGGATTTCTACTGTGAATGTTTAAAAAAAAGTGAAAACACTGATTGTTCAAAGTGCTAACTACAATGTATACCGATTTAACGAAAAATATAATTACCCATGTGTAATATTATGCGAAAAAATATGCCAGAAATTGACAGACTAGGTCATTTCGGTAGCTAAAACTTATCTAGGTCAAAGCGGATAATTCAATTTAGTTTTATTCATATACGTAATAAATTCTGATGTATGTCAACATTAAATGACAGCCTGTTTCAGTAGAAACATTCATTAATCGGAAATTGAAAGTGATATAGTTTCGTAATTAATAAAATGATATAAATACTTACAAGTACACCTACATTTGCAGTTAATATTCATTCATACAATTATCCTAACTCCGCCTGTAGCTCTTCTAGAGTTACTGCCGGTCCCAAGCCCACACAAAGGAGGAGGGTTGGGCATGGGGTTAGCGACACCATCCCGTAGAAAAGCTAACTCGCTCGTTAGAAAACGCTAACCAGAAAAAGTAATTCAATACATTTAAACTCTGCCCTGGGAGTTGAAGGAATAATTATGAAGTCTCATGATGAAAGTCGAAATTCTTCGGAAGTCACGAGACCGATGCACCTTCTAACAACCAGAGCAACACTCTTTATAGGTACATGGAACGTCCGGACAATGTGGGAGACAGGAAAGACCAGCCAAATAGCAATGGAAATGAGGAGATACTGTGGTGTGGTCTACTTATATCTGTATAAGTAGTATATGGTGTGGATCAGACATAGAATGTTTTTTGACAGAAGACCGATGAGGAAAAAGCTGAAATGAAGCGCAATCGTTTGGAAAATGCATGAGCAATGGAATCAGAGAAGAAACAGTGAAGATTGAAACAATTGGTTGTTAATTTGCAAATTGACTGTTCATTGTTTGGTTATCAGAATTTACTGAGATAGTCTGTAATTTTTGCTTAAATACATTCGATTGTCCTCAGTTGTGTTCTGTTCACTACAATACAACTTGGCAGTACTCGGAATCAGCGAAACCCATTGGACACAAACTGGACAACAAAGGCTAATCAAAGCATCATTCAGAACAAAGAAGCAAGGGATCGCAATGAACGTTATCCAATGTTATATACCCACCAATGATAGCAACGACGATGACAAAGATCAGTTCTATGAAAGGCTGGAATCAATTATAGAGAAGAGCTCACGAAAAGACCTCACCATCCTGATGGGAGATCTAAATGCTAAAGTTGGAGTGGGCAACACAGGATATGAAGATGTAATTGGACGACATGGATTAGGAGAGAGAAATGAAAATGGGGAGAGACTTGCAAACCTATGTGCATTCAACAAATTGGTTAAAGGCGGCACAGTATTCCCACACAAACGTATACACAAAGCTACATGGATCTCACCGAACCACACCACAGAGAACCAGATAGATCACATCTGTATCAACAAAAAATTCCGAAGATCAATGGAAGATGTAAGAACCCGGAGAGGAGCTGACATAGCTTTAGATCACCACCTGGTTGTGGCCAAGATGAGACTGAAGCTAAAGAAACACTGGACAACTGGACAAACAGCACTACAAAGGTTCAATACAGCCTTCCTTCGAGATATTGACAAGTTCCATGAATTCTAGATAACTCTCAACAACAGCTTCCAAGCTCTACAGGATCTACTGAATGAACAAGAAACTACTTTGGAGGACAACTGGAAAGGGATAAAAGAAGCACTAACTTCAACGTGTCAGGAGGTTCTTGGTCCTAAGAAGCATCATCACAAGGAATGGATCTCTATGGGGACCCTGGACAAAATTCAAGAAAGGAAGAACAAGAAACTAGCAATTAACAACAGCCGAACACGAGCAGAGAAAGTCAAAGCACAAACAGACTACGCAGAAGCAAACAAGCAAGTGAAGAAAAGCATTAAAGCCGACAAGCAGAAATACATGGGAGAACAAGCAACGGTGGCGGAAAAAGCTGCAAGAGAAGGGAATATGAAACAACTGTGTGATACAACGAAGAAATTGGCAGGGAGATATAGCAAACCAGAGAGACCAGTCAAAGACAAAGAAGGAAAGACAATCACTGAGATTCAAGAACAGAGGAAAAGATGGGCAGAATACTTCGAGGAACTGCTGAATAGACCAGCCCCATCGAATCCACCGAACATCGAAGCAGCCCACACTGACCTTCCAATAGATGTCACTCCACCAACGATCGAAGAAGTCAAGAT